CCCCAAAACCCCAAAACCCCAAAACCCCAAAACCCCAAAACCCCAATTAGAATACTGATAATTGAACTTTAAATTGCCTATTCAAATTCTTGAACTTGGACTGAAAGGTCATCTAACAGAGTTTCCATCCAGCTTAAAATAGAGTACTGCTGAGTCACAGTATTCTCGATGCTGTTTAGGAAAGAAGGCTTGTTCGAGCTTCCATGAGTTGAGTTTATATTGCTCATCAAGCTATACACATTGATCAGTATTAAGTTAACTCAATTCTTGCTTACTGAATATCATGAAGAGCAGATTCCAGATGACTCAGTTCAGTATTGGTTTTACTAAAAATTTCAGATATAGTTTGGCGAGGATTTGAAGGATCTAGGGATAAGCACTTGATTACCTGTATTTGAGGGAAATAGGTTCTCTGATAGGTTAGAGTCAAACTTTTGAAGTTCTTGAAGCAGGTCAGCCTGACGATTTTCAATTTCTTTAAATAGACCTCTCTTTTTCTTCACTTTGAGATAGGATTTCATCTGATTTTTGTTCTAACTGATTAATGACTTCAGCAACTCTGAAGAATTCAAGCTCTTGCTCCCGAAGCTTATCGGCTGAAGTTTTGAATTTTTCCGACATGTAATCAAGTTGAGTGTTCCACTCTTGTGATATCTTGTCAATAGTTTTATTATTGATCTCTGATTTCGATGCCTCACCCAAAGAACTGCTGGCGATTTTTGGATCTGTTTTGAGTTTGTCTTTGTCTTTGGCATTCTCTTTCTCTTTATCTTTACTACTTTCATCTTTCTTTGCAAACATATTAGTGGATGTCTTTTTATCGTCTGTGAACATGAAATGTGCTTGATCATACCTTTATTTCCAAATGGGTTACTTGCATTTTTAATTTGCTTATTTGTGGCAAATATATCTTTTGCTTCCTTCTTAGTTTCTTCTTGATTCTCTTCTTCTATTATAATCTTAACTTAATAATACTTTTATCTAATGCACTGGTCTCTTTCTTTTCTTCTTTCTTATCTTTATTAATACCAAAAGGATTCTTAGATGCTTCTCCAGTCTTATTCTCCTCTAAACAATTAATCTTCATTGTTGAACTAAAATAAGGACTCATCAAAAATAGTTTGTTGTAAAATTCTTCAATGGAAATGGTCAAAAGATCTTTTAACCCCATGTAAGCCCTCTGTTATTTGTCTCCTTCCAATTACCTTGTTTGCGATTGTTTTCAAATAGATTCTTCGGAGTAGATCCATTCTTCTTGCCTGCAGTGAAAGGGTTGGCTGGCTTTGTGTCTGATGTTCTTGTAGCTGGAAACGCTGGTCTTTGGTCATTTGAGGGTTTATTAGAAGCATCTACAAAATTAAACTTATTTAGTACCAAATGGATTTGGATGTTTGCCAATCATACTAGAGGCTCCTTGAGAGTTATCACTAGTTTTAATAAATGGATTTCTTGACATTTTTACAATTTCAATTTTTATTAACAAATGCGGGGTTTTGGGGTTTTGGGGTTTTGGGGTTTTGGGG